TGTTGGAATCATAAGTCCTCATTTCCCTCCACCCATGTCTTCCACCCACAATAAAGGAGGGGACACCAACAATTTAGTTGGGTCTCATACTTATTAATATATGATTGAAATGATTAAGTCCATCCTATATATTCAGTGAATTACCAAGAGGGTAATACGCAACAAAACGCAGTACAACACAAACACAGTGTAAACAAGTTTGGTTTTGAGTTATATTTCCAAATCAATCAAAGAAATATTTTGATATATTTGTCTGTGTTTATACAATTGCTATACTAGAATTGTTTATACAATTGCTATACTATGCAATTGCTATACTAGATACTTTGCCACTTAAAAATACAATAATTAGTTTTTGAATCATTAAACATTAAAAACTGATTTTATACGACTTAAACGCAATATGTTCTTCTAAAACCATAATTAAGAGATTAAAATTGTTGGAAAATAAATACTAAATAGAGTCAGTTTGATCTGAATCTCAATCTGGCATCGTCACTTTCTTCCGACGCACTTCATTCTTTGTATAAATCCAATCGAACTGCTACTCAACTTGTCCCAATTAACCTTGAATTCCCCATTTATGGCTTTCCCCAACCTCAAAACTTTCTTCTTTCTCATCCCATTGAACTAAGTTTCACCATACTACCATGGTGGATACCCTAACTTCACCGTCGCCTTCGATGTGGCGCTTCCACCACCGCCGTTGGATTCCCGCCCTCTTCTCTTCTTACAAGACCCTTTTCACACTCCTCTGGATCGTCGGATTCACATCAGTTTTCATCTGGCAACACAACGTCGTCGAGGGCTTCTTGATTTTCCGGCGGCCCCTCGTTTCTCGATCCTTTCCCCAGCTCCGACCCTTTTCTTTTAATCTCACGGATTTCGGAGCTGTCGGAGACGGCATCACTCTCAACACTAAGGCTTTCGAAGATGCGGTTTCTGCTATCTCAAAGCTCGGGAAGAGAGGTGGTGGTCAGCTCAATGTTCCTGCCGGAAAGTGGTTGACGGCGCCATTTAATTTAACAAGTCATATGACACTGTTTCTTGCCGAAGATGCTGTTCTACTTGCTATCGATGTGAGTGTCACTTTGCTATCGATGCTCTTATTTACACAGTTTCTTGCTCAAATTCATAATGTCACCACTTCCATTTTTATCATGAATAATACTAAGTTATGATTTAAGAATCATTAAAAGAAGATTAGCTCATGGATTATCACAATCTTGCAATGTTTAGTGTTAGCTCCACTAGGGATTTTTTTCTTTGGGTTACATATATATCGTTTGAACAAACTACAAGTTGTTCAAAACATAACATTGCATCAATAAGTATTATTAGAGAACATATTATATGATAGGTTTAAGAACATTTTCAGAAGAAAAAAAAACATATTCAAGTAAAAGTTGTAGAAGGTTTTCTTATGTTTCCAACGAATTAAGAATCAAGATAAATATAAGAAATAAAAACATACTTCCATTTATTTGTTTGTTATATCATTTACTTTTATTTCTTTCTATTGCAGCATTTTACTTTGAGAAGGACAATAATGTAATAGAAATAAATGGAATTAAAATTCCATAATAAACAAATAAATGAAAGTACATTGCTATGATTTGCATTTAGCACTAAACATGTTAAATATCTGAAAATTTTTCATCCTTAAGTAATCTCTAGAAAATTGTATATAACCTTAAGTTCTAGATCCTTCTTTTTTGATTTTAACAAATCAAATTTTGATTTAATCATAATTAGAATCAATTTTATACAACCTTTGAGAACTCGTTTCCCTGTTTTCATGCCATAACTCCTGTTTTTCATCAAATTAAATTTTAAATCAGGGTCTGATCATCTCACAAGGATTCAGAAACATATTAGAGTACTTTCCAATAAACAAGTGATTTGTTATGATTTTTACAATAATAGCACAACTTTCATGAAAGTATAAAACAAAATCATGTAAGGATTCACAATCCTACCATATTAAAAACAAGGAATTATATATGAAATCAAGAAGAAACTCATACTAATATGAATCAAAATGAAACTAATCCAATGCCGAACATATAAAAATTATAAACACAAGAGGAAGTGGACAAGTGGTTATGTCAATTGTCATCTAAACTTCTAAAGCTTAAAGTTTCCATCTTTTGTAAAGTGTTTATTTATTTTATCTTTTGTTGACCAAACTTGTTTTTTGTTGACCAGGATGAAAAGTATTGGCCTTTAATGCCTCCTTTACCATCTTATGGTTATGGCAGAGAGCATGGTGGACCTCGATATGGAAGTTTTATTCATGGTCAACATCTCAAAGATATTGTGATCACAGGTATAACTTTAATATATTAATTTACGTTATATAAAAAAAATAAGTTAGATGATAAATATATTTAAATGTTAACCCTAACAAACAACACTACAGGACATAATGGTACAATTAATGGTCAAGGTCAAAAATGGTGGAAAAAGTTTCGTCAAAAGCGACTCAATCACACGAGGGGCCCACTTGTGCAAATCATGTGGTCAAGTGATATTTTGATATCTAACATCACTTTACGCGATTCACCCTTTTGGACACTTCATCCATACGACTGTAAAAATGTAACAATTAGAAACATGACAATCTTGGCTCCCATTTTTCAGGCTCCAAACACAGATGGCATAGATCCTGGTTGGTTTACTTTCTTTCAAGTTTTTCTCGTATTTTTGGATTTATTTGTTTTACTTATTTCATGATTTGAACAGACTCATGCGAGGATATGATTATAGAGGATAGCTATATAAGTGTTGGGGATGATGCGATTGCGATAAAAAGTGGTTGGGATCAATATGGAATTGCTTATGGAAAGCCCTCAAAGAATATTTTAATTCGGAATCTTGTGGTTCGCTCGATGGTTAGGTGAGCCTTATTGTCTGTTGATGGTCATATCTGTCTCCATATATCTGACATGGTATCAGAGCCATTTTTAACATCTCAAGGAACCAACACACGTCAAGTGTCTATGTTGGGGCTTGGGGGTGTGTTATAGTTTGATACTTTTAACATGGTATCAGAGCAAGCTATTCGTATTATCTGGCTCTATATATGTTGGAGTGGTCTACACTGTATCCTCAAATAATTACCACTAAATTAAAAAATTTGATATTGATTTTATGTTTGCAGTGCGGGAATATCGATAGGAAGCGAGATGTCAGGAGGGGTATCGAACGTGACAATCGAAAACATTTTGATCTGGAAATCAAGACGCGCGGTTCGAATCAAAACAGCAGCAGGAAGAGGGGCGTATGTTCGGGACATAAAATACCGAAATATAACGTTTGACAATGTGAGAGTTGGAATTATAATAAAAACAGATTACAATGAACACCCGGATAAGGGTTATAATCCAAAAGCTTTCCCTGTGATAAGGGACATAAGTTACAGGTCGATTTATGGTGAGGGAGTGCGGGTCCCGGTTCGTATACAAGGTAGTGCAGATATTCCTGTAAGGAATGTAAGTTTCAAGGATATGTCTGTAGGGATTGCATACAAGAAGAAGCATATTTTTCAGTGTGCTTATCTTCAAGGACGAGTTATAGGGTCTATTTTTCCAGCCCCTTGTAAAAATCTTCATCTTTATGATGAACAAGGGAGGCTTGTGAGAAAGTCTAATTCTGAAAATGCTTCGGATATAGATTATGATATTTGAGATTTGTTGTTTTCATGTATGTTGTTTATGTGGAACAACAATCTTCATTGCAAGCTTGTGTTTATTATAAGTAAAGTAATCATCTATGGATCAAAAAAGGATAAACTCAAGAATTGATTAGAAGGTTGTAGGTGAAGTATATCGAAGCTTGTGTTGATCGTTGTATCATGTATTGTTTATGTAATTATTAGAAAGTTTTAAACTGTCTTTTTCAAGTCAAAATGTTACCATAAAACTAAGCGTATATTACTGAAATGGTCTATGAGGTTTACAACAAAGAGCAATTATTTCGTTGAAAAAAATGGTATGAGATTTGTTGTGATTTTGATTCATGATCGATGAGAAAAATGATATTATTATTACCCTTTGTAATTTCTTTTAATTTTTTCTTTTACCAATTTAATTAAAAATGTAAAATCGGATTAAACCCCTACTCAATTTGTTTATTGAGAGCCTAACAATAACTTTGAATAATTTGAATTTAAATGAAATGGAGGCCTGTGGGGACAAGGGGGTGGGGTTTGGCCAGTTGTCCTCACACAAAAGAGGCACGGAAAATGAATCAATTGGGGTGGTGGGCCTATAAATTTTTTATGTTTTAATAAAAAAACAAGTTTATAGAGTATTGGATGATGGCAATTATCTAAACTTCAAGTCAAACCTTTAAATTAATTTTAAAATATGTCAACTTCAACATTTTTTAACAATTCGATTATTCCTAAAAAACTATGTTTTGAATAAGTCAATAGTTCAAAGTTTAATAAGTACAGAATAAAGCATTACAAATAAACAAACCAACAAGATTTCAAAATAAACAACTGCAAACATTTTTATCCCCAACCCACAAGTCAATCTTGAGATTTAAGTTCGGTATAATTAGGGCTCATGTACGATAATCAATCTACATAATATATTTTTCATACACATTCCAAAGTTAGGGCTAGTATATAATTAGCACAAAGTACCTAATACATTTTTCATTTGTTCTAGTTCCAAGTTATGTATCTTGTGAATCATCCCACAAATACCACACAAGGGATAAGCTAACTCATTTTGTGCAAGTGGACTTATCTAGAAAACTGCACTCCAAATAAATTATCAAAAATGGGATATTCATGACTAACACACTAAGTCTCAATTCATGCTATGTGAATGCACAAATATGACAAATATGATGCTCAAAATAATTTCAGTTCAAACCAATAGTCACCCGCCCTTCCCTTTAAAAATATAAATTCTCTTTCAAAAATAACTTTCATCAAAATGCATCAAATACTTATAATATTCGCGTTGCACATAAAGAGTATAACATATGAAACCAATCATAATAAATCAATAAAATAGGTTAATGGAGATATACTCTTGGGATAACTCATCTTAATAAAATAGGTTAATGGAGATATACTCTTGGGATAACTCATCTTAACTGGTTGAACAAGCACACTTTACTTCTAAGTTGTTGGAATACTTAGTGGTTACATATAGTTAGCAATAGTTGGGTTAATGATCCATTAAATATCCATTAAGTCACTTATTAAGTTCTTAATCTTAATGTAACATCCCGAGATTTTGCAGATATTTTCGAATCCTCTCTGGTTATTTTGTCATTTATAGTCCCTAGGGTTGGAAGAGTGAAGCCATTAGAAGACTAAGGGCTAAGGTTGCAACTTTGGAATCAAGAGAGTACGCTAAGCGTACATAAGGTACGTTGAGCGTACTAGGCGCGCCCTAGTACGTTGGGCGTACACTTGTGTACGCTGAGCGTACTCACGTCTGGTGGAAACCCTAATATTTAGGGTTTGAGTGCTATATAAACGTCATTATGAGCTCAAAACCCTCCATCACCTCAGCCTCCATAGATTTGAGCCGTTTTCCCCAAACCCCAACCTCTTTCTTGAGTGTGTGAGCTAAAAGAGTGTGCTTTGAGTAGTTGGAGAAGAAGGTGTTGCATCAAGAAGTTGGAGAAGGAGGACAAGCTTGTAGATCTGAAGTTTCTTTGTGCTCTAGCAGCTCCAGAATGTAAAAAGCTCCAACCTTTATGTGTGTATGATGTAGATCTAGCCTTAGTAGCTTTATGAAACCATTTCTTGTCCCAAAAGTCCCAAGTTGGTGCATGTTATGGTTTGAACGAAATAAGATGTCCTTTCAGGCCCTAGAGAGGGTCCTAAGTGATAAAAATGATGTCTTAATGGCTGAAAGTGTCCCATGCATATAGTAGGAAGGTCTTAATGGGTTAAGACCATGTATTAAGAACTTTATGGACGTCTAAAGTCTTAAAGTTTGAGACTTTATGGTTCAAAGACACAGTTGGTCGATGGTCCATTTGGGTTGCATGGCATCGGAACATTTGGATAGACCGTTTGTGAGGAGAAGACATTTGTGACATATTAATATATTATAAGTTCTAATATATTAATATGAAATCATGTTAGTTAATTAGTATTGATCAAGAATTAATTTGGACTTAATTTAGTGATCAAAAGGAGACTAATTAAATATATG